GAACTTATCCGGGGGTCATCTTAATATCTTAATTAACGTTCTTGTCTTTTTAGTCTCAATTAGTATGTTTCTGTTACCCATCTCATTATTTTTGTCCCAAGGAATATAAATTACATTCTTATTTGGTGTAAGCTAATTGTGTTTTAATCAATATATTTGTTTGTTTTGATAACGTTACATGTGTTATTAAAAGTATTTTTTCATTTAATTATCTCATTTTATTTGTATGTACCAAAAGTTTGAATTGATACAGCACATTCACTTTTATGACACGATCTCGGAGGGATCAAACGAACCGGTAAAAATTAGCTTAAAAGGGCACTTAGCGAGATATTAAAATTATCTCGATTTCTTTTTGTAACAATATATGACTATATTAATAAAGTAACACATTTAATGATATCTGAAACCGTGCTAAATATTAATTTAATTGTAAAGCAATGATTTTGAAATACACCATATATTAATGACTGACTTATATACTTTCAGTGTGTAGTCATTAAATCTTTGAATATTACAATAAGAGAGTATTGTGAAGGTCACATTTTTTTGTATTTAAATAAAAACGTTTGGACATTTTTCAAAAAAACTCCCTTTAAAAGCTGTCTACCATGAGATATAGAAATTGAATTCAAAGCATTCAATAAGGCACTTATTATTAGTCGGTGAATAAAAATAGAACAATTGAAATATTATGTTTAGAATTTAAGTCTTCATCAAGAAACTTTTTGTAAAAATGGTGGGGATATAAAATAATATCTCTTGTTTATAAAGTACACACGTCAAGTATATAGTGGTTTTGATAATATCAAGACTACGAAACACATATTCAGTATTCCTATAAGCTCCAATTTGCTGGAATGATGTAATTGAAAAACTTGCCTTCTATTGATTTCTCATTCTTCTTCTTATTGATTTCTCATTATAAGTTCAATTTTCTGAAGATTAAATTTAGATTAAAAAATTAAAGATGAACGAATATTTTTCCAGATATACTAGGTATTGCTGATTAAATGAAAACTAATTAATTGTACTGTAACTTGTTTTCATAAGACTTTACTATAATTATCTATATTTATAGTCAATGTGAAATCAGTTTCCAATTTTAAATCAGTTAAGTGGTAGTTCAAACCATGTCTACATTTCATTACAACTAAAATATACTGAATTATTTTTATCAAATATTTAAAGCATTCAATTGTAACTGTAATCCAATTAGTTCACAAAAACTTATTTAAAGTGCCACTCGTCTTTGTCTCTCGTGAACCTGGATGCGAGGCTGGCCTTGAACCTCCGGGTCACCGGGTCGAGGCCGCAGGATTTATAGTGTCTCGATAATATGAACATCAATTGTTATTAATGTTTTAAATGATCTTCTACATTAATTTTATACCTTGACAATCAGAAGTTGAACTCGGATTATTATGCTTTTCATATTATACTTTAACGGGAGATTACCGTTTTAAATAATTATATATATATACAGACACATCACTCTAAGATGGCCAAACAAACAAAGATTTGTCTTTGTTATAGAATAAAAATAAAAATGTATGTGTAAGCTTTGAAAAAGATGATAATATTAACTTTATTTGTTACATAAATTGGAAATGTCGTCAATGTCGGTTTTCACTCAGCTTCAGATTTATGTAATGTTTTGTTTTCTGTTAACAATCAGATAGTTAAATATATTAAATTTTACAAGGAAGTTCTTTATAATCTTTTAATTAAAAATGTATTCATTTAATATACTAGATACCACGCCAGGTTTCCAGGTAAGAAATATAATTTGAATGGAAAATAAAATGAAGAGCGTGTTAATGTTTTTATAAAAGATAAAAATTTAATCAAATAATTTTTATAGCCGGTACTTTCTTTTTTGAAAAAGTGTTTTTGGTATTAAAAACCTTACATAGATTTATAGAGTAAGTATATGGGAATGATTTTTTAAATAAAACGACACTATTTTTTACATTAAATTAATTCATTAAAATGTATTTTATATTTGCATTGTGAGTTTTGTAAGCGAACGCCGGAAAATAACATCTAGAGGACGTCTGCGTGGGTCACGAGGTGATCATAATATAATAAAAACATAACTACAATATTACAATAATTATTTTAAAAATTAAATGCAATCGAATATCAAAAAAACAGTCACAAAAATCCACAACTTAAGAATATTAAACAAATGAGAGAGAGATGGATTCCTTAAGTAAATTTTTTTTGTATTCGTATGAATTATGTATAAAATATTTAATGTAACCTCTTTACCTATATAATTTAATAAAATGAAAAATGAGCAATCACACATTAAAATTTACGTGACAAAAAAATTATTACAGAACTTCAATTACAAAGTTGAGAATAAATAAAATCTTTATCAAAATCATTACAGACAATATTTTTTCATAACACATTTGATAATGTAAAAATGTTCTTAAAACGTCGTTGTATTAATCAGACGGTAATATGAAGGAAAAAATTGATAATAAAAGTTAAAATAATAAAGTACAAATACATTACAATATTCCACAACAAAAGGCAGTGTGAATACAACAACATACAAATATAAATGTATTAAAATTCTGTTGTTACTGGAATGTGTCTGTTGATATGTCCTTTGTTATTTAAAACATCTCTTGAATATGTTTGTCGATTGCTTATAATTTCTGACGGTTAATAGTCATTGATACTTCAAAACCAGCACGATTACTACGTCTCATTACATTATATAGTATATCTGTTTCAACAATTTATTTTAATATACAACAGTATTCGTGCCAGTTTTTTCTACTAAAAAGCTTACTAAAATATTAAAACTCCTAATAATCAACTAACATTGCTTGAAACATTGACTACAGATATTTTTACATATTTGCTTCTAATAAATATTCTTAAGATACAGCATATATTTTTATTAATATTATACTTTAACGTCTAATAATCATTGTACTCCACTACTCATCATACATGAGAACACAAACAAACGAACTATTAAATCATTCCAATTAAATAATAAATATTGTTTTGTACACTTATTAAGTATAAATATAATTTACAATTTAATTAATATACGAATTTCATTAATTACAATAAGAATATTAAATCGTCGATCCTTACAAGCTAACACCAAACACGGCAAATAAAACAAGCAATGTATGTACATCCTGCGACAATAAAATAATAAGACTGTAAAAACATTTCACTACGGATATATTAATAATATTATTTACATGGAATTCATGTACAAATATACAACATTTATATTCCATTATAAATTTTGGATATCATGAAAAGTACAAAACTAGAAAGGTTCTTCCATCAGAGACATTGTTACCGTTGCTATCATCCTTAGAACAGATCAATGTTGCGGGCTAAAGTTAAGCTTTACAAATACAAAAATAGCTGAATTCGTTTCCATTATCACCTATTACATCCTTTACAAGGATCAATGCTTCCAAGCATCAGTCTTGCACGCGACTATGTCTGATAGCATGAAACCTACGCCCGGAGAAAGCTCATTAACGACTATATTCTAAATATAACTAAAAGATAAACAACAGGAAACATCTAAACGCGTTATTTTTATGATATTTTTTGTTCATAACCAAAATACGATCTTTGTTTCAGCAAGCTTTTCATGAGAATTATTTCTAATAAAGCAAAATGAAACCCTATATAACTCCGTCATTGCATTCACTTCCCTAGTAGAAAAATACAATTCTTTTGAAGATATTTTTTTCTATATTTTTTTTCTATTTTTTTGTGCAGTTACTTCCTAATTTCATTACAAGTCATTTAACGAATACTATCAAACAGTCCGTTACAACGTCAAACATTAAAACGTGTAAATATTCATATATTTGATTAGTTCTTATTATTATATCTTAAGCTAAAATCCTTATGTCTTCAACATTTGTGCATTCGAAGCGGCTATACACCTGTAACAGGCGTTAATAAAAATAGAAAATAAATTATAACATACATTATAAAACTCTTTTTTTGTTTTATTTCTTATCATTTTTTTATTTAAAATTATATTACTTTTCTTATTATATAAGGTTACAATGTTAAAACAAGTTTTCTTAAAATATTAGTTATTAATTATCTAAAATGGTTTTTGTGCGATCAACGAAATGTAAAAAGTATTCAATCCCTTTATAAAAATATTTTAAAACGGTTACTACTATGTACTACTATTGTATTTTAATGAAGTAATGAAGTGTATTTCATATTAAACTATAAAACAGTCCTTCAACATTTCTTCTAGTAGTTCCAGTAAGTAGTTCATAGCTTGTTGACGTCTCATTTCACGAGGAACAATATTTTTAATATAAATTGTTTTTGTATTTCTGAATATTATTAAATATTATATAATGTCTACAATAATAATGAAATATCTAAAAATTATAAAGCATATTTATCTATGAATTCTGTATTTTTGTACTGAAATATTCATAATTACTTATACTATATTTGTTATATTTTTCATTTTTTATAAAACAGTTAAGGCTATCTAATTTACAAATCCTTATTCGTCTTCAATGAAAAACTTTGTTAACGATTATAAAAATAGTTTTAAGATACACAGACAGATGAGCGGTCTATAAAGAGATACTTGAATATATTCATGATACAAAATAAACAAAACGGTGATTTAAAACATCTACATACATAATTATCATTTGTGCACTGTGTGCGTGTTCACTCCATAGTTATTTGTTCCTTTCTGAATAAATCCGTAACAACGTTTTAATATATTATTAATATTACGATTAATTATACCACATGCATTAACTTATTACATAAACGAGTATTATCTGATAGTCACATTTTATTAAATGCACAAGACAACATCAAACTGGTAACTCAAAATTCAAGCGGTAAAGTCTTCCTAATCCTCGATATGCTGTTACACGCCTCGGCTGTCTTCGAACCAGAGTACGCGAGCCCTGTTGGCCGTTGAAAATTAGCTCCCCTTAATGTAGCTGGAACATTTAGACTCCAGTGTGGTTGAAGATAAAAGATACTGCGTTTTTATCAACCGGTGGCGACCTACGCGTCATGGAGGCGTGATTGTTATTGTAATGCCAGGACTTCCTCGTCGATGTACTTGATGATTGTAAAGCGATCGTTTCGTAGTAACGCAGACGACCGCAGCATTTCCTACTCTTTATGATGGCGACGAAACCCTTCCTGTATTTTTTGTTGAAAAATGCATATAGGATCGGATTTATGCATGAATTCGACGCTCCCAGCCATTGAGCCAGAGGAGTCACAACGGGAAACATTTCTTCTTCCCATTTTTGTACGGGTCCACCTAACTTAATCCTCGCAAAAATTAGGTACAGAGGAAACCAGGATAATACGAAAAGTATGACAACAGCGACTAGCATTTTAACAACTTTGACCTTTGACTTCTGTTGCATGCGTTCCATTTGAGCATCTTGAGTGTCGGTAGGGATGGAACGTCTCCAAACTTTTATCCAAATTAATATATAGCACATGGTTATAAGAACCATCGGCAAAATATAACAGAATATGAGATTTCCGATCACAAAATAGAGGACTTCGCTGATGGGGTTAGGCCATACATCTAGACAGAGACGGACGTGTGGGTTGTCGTCAAACACTACCACCAGGTCGAAGAAGATGACCCACGGGGCTGTGATGAGGATTGCTAGAATCCAGATGAAGACGATCATCATCCTGGCTCGGCGTTTGGTGATTTGGCATTTCAGAGGCCACCAGATGGCCAGGAATCTGAAACAAATGAATTAACAATCAATATTTAAACTATAATTATTTGTTTATTATTAAGCCAAGGTTACTTATATAACATTCCTTTTAAGACTATGAATGGGCTATTTAGGTCCAGTAAATAAATTATTGTTTTGTGAATAAAAGAAACACTGTTTGAGGTTCACTTATATTTATATAATAGACTCTTTAAAATAGGAGTCTTTAAATATTAATTAATAATTTATGTTCATTGAAATTTAAAAATATTATTAGCAGGTTGCATATGTAGCAGTGAAATAATAACGTTTTATTTCCAAGCAACTCAAGACAAGAATAGAAATATGTTCTAAATAAATTGTATACGTATTTAATTACAATATATAAATCTCAGTTAAGTTTTTCTTCCTGCAGTTGCAAGGAAGATTAAGCTAGTAAATTTCCTGAAATCGACTTAAAAGCTATATTGCTTGGAAAAAGTTCACTTGAGCGCTAACGATTAATACAGTCTGGGAGTAATGGGTTTGGGGTAAAAACAAGGAAGCCGTTATTAGGAGGCAAATTGAATGCTAGCAGATTTAGATCCATTGTAAATTTAGAAAAGTTTTATGGGTCCCAAGCTACTCATCTCAACATTTACTACTCTTGTTAAGGGTCCAAATGATAATATTGTAAAGTTAAAATATCCATAGAGATCATTTTTAATACTGTAATATAATTTGGTTTTCTAAAATTAGCAAAGTTATTCGGAGTTGTTATTATTAATATAACAATGTTTTTGAGTACGGTCTAATTCTATTTCCTATACAGAGATATTATTAATAAGTTAAATAGTAATAAGTTAAAGCATAAGGGTCGAGTGATTAAGTTAAATTGAAAATTTGAAGTCACACCTTAAGCACATTGTTTTGTTTATACTATTTTTATTTCTTTTGATATTCTTACTGTGTAATATATGAAATAAACTTTATATTTCACAAATTTTGTTTTATTTATATATAGTCCAATTCTTTGTTATATCTCTCAGTTACTATTTGCCTCCTTAATATTATTTAGTGAAGGCAATTTATAGAAAAGGCTGAATGTATTTCTTTTGTGCCTATTAATACGTACTGACACTTGGCGTCAATAAACATGACAGCTAATAAAAGCTTTCGAAAAGACAAAGTTGTACAAAAGCCTAGGCCTCTGGGTCGCTGGACCGGTTCCATCTAATAAATGACTAAAGCCTGCGCGAAATCACACACAGATCTACTGTAATCAATTTCATACATTTAATTTCCAAGCCATAGTTTACCATGAGTCAGCTTATCAGTCAGTTTATCTACAATGTTTGTGTCCGTGTATACGATTTGATTTTACCTTCAAATGACATAATTAATATATTCAACTGTCGCTTATCAATCGATATTTTTTGTTTAATGTTTGAAACTAGGCCAATATCGGCGCATGTCAGTTGTCATACACATTACAGAGGACGGAAGTCAACAGAGATTAGTATTGATTAAGGATTATCAAATAATTTGAAATTTCATTAAAAAATAACGAGTTAATGATATGACAATGCGAAATCCCGAATTCATCATTTCGTGTTGTTTTCCGAAGATAAGAGAAAAGCTTCCAAAAATAGTATCCTTCGAAGTGACGGAATGATAAATGACGGTCGTTTTGTTGGCCGGTCTGCTATATAACTGCATTTTATTAGAAGCTATTGTTTTAGGGGGTCATTGAACTTTGATTTATTATATATATCGATTTTAATTCCTTATTGATCTATAATATTAGGATATCAACATATCAAGCTTATATTCCCAGGAGAGTTTCTGTATCATTTAATATTCCAGTAAGTTATACTTCCTGTTATCAAATTATTGTAACTCAACGTTACCTCCATTCACTAACAACTTATGTTTGTATTAATTAAAGGTAAATTACCTTGAAATATTAATGAATATAATCACTGTCAATAATATATGAAGGAGTTACTACAAGAAATTGGATTTAGGAAACAATACATAGATTTAGAGACGGAGACTGACTTATTAAAATATGAGCATTTTTCGTTGATGAATTCAATTATAAATCATTCTTTATCTTTGGACTCCTCTCAATAAGAGAGTTAGTACTCCAAGAGAGATACATATATATGGTGGATCTTATACTCAGGAGTAGAAATAAACTAAATATAAAAAGTAGTTCATGTATTAAAGATTTCATCAATTTAACAATGAATATATTCCAAAAAAAATAATTCTTCATGCGACCCTTCGATATTACAACTGGCATTAAATAATATTAAAGTGTGAAGTTTACGAAAATAAAACAAGCAATAAATAAAATAACAGCTATAGAATGAACAGTATCGGTTGACAGGGACTTTTATAAAAACTACATAAAAATACATCCTTGAAGATAACGCAATATTATGAGACTTATTAAATAACTCAAACTTTCCACAGTACGGGACGACCTCTCGAAAGATTCGGGTTAAACGTAGCCATAACTCACTCGCTCGAATAAATTACTTGAAAATGTGAAGAGTCAACGGTCAATTACTGAACGGGTCCTGTACGTTTATCATATTAATTTATGATCACACGAGAAGCTTTCATATTGACCCATAACTTGCACTATTTTACAGTTTTTGTCTACAATAATAACTCAATGCAATACTAATTAAAATAAACTGTTTCAAATTCTTCGCAAAATAAATAATATGATTAATTCTGGTCAACATATTATTCCTTATTTGTATGTAACACAGAAGATGTATTAAGAATGCTGAGTGTCTCGTGAAGTCAAACAAACAGGTTTAATTTGTAGTTACATGCATTTTATTCGAAATAACGAGTAATTATATCAATAACTTTACATCAAAAGAGAAAAATTGTAAAAAATGAGATACTGAATAATGTTGATGATATATATGTAATTGTTTTATACGCTGTGGTATTTTTCATCACATGTTTATCGAAATTCTCCATAAACTTAGTTCTTCATTAAAAGGTAAAGGTTACAAAAATAAACATAACGCCGCTATAATCATACATAAAAATTTTCTCGTTGAGTTTTATCATCGTCTCCTTCTCATATCGCTTGTACCTTCACAGATGGTATCGGAGCGATCTTATTATCGAATCGTTTTAATATCGTTTTATTGAACTTAATTCATACTTTTAAACACTCATATAATTTTTGGCGCCTTTAAATTAGTTGTCATTACAACTTTGACGTTGGCATTGACATCAAAATGACATAATAATATATGCGAACGGCGCAAAGGTATGGAGTCGTATTAATAAACCTTATTGTGTGTAGTTAGGGTCTAAATTGGTGTGGCTGGATGTCTATTTGTTTGGTATCCTTACAGCTTCTGTTGCTTTTATTACGAGATGCAATCAGTTTGCTAATCGCGGGGAAGGCCGAGCCTTACAAAGAAAGTTGTAAGTTACGTTTATCAACTAGAACGAACATTAAACTTAAAATACACTTATATGGTTAACATTTTAAATATTTAAAGACATTTTTGCGTTACTTTTAATAGTATAATTTTTATAGCAAATAAAATTTTTATTGTTGATAAAATAAGGTATAAACAGAATAAAATGAAAAGCTGTTTTCTTTTCGAATCGATTAAAAAACAATTTTAAATTTAATTAGCTTTGATCTGTATCAGTAGGTCTGCTACCATGTTTAATATATATGCATATGTTGGCAGTACAATGAATATTTCATTGAATGATAATCATCCGAAGCATTGAGATAAAAATGCTTAAATAAAAAGCGTACTTTAAACAGCCCGAATACTTTGATTGATTACACTGTACTGTCGGTCAGGGACGATGCATTGAAAGAGATACACGCTAACATATATATAACCTAACCTATTTATATATATATATATATATATATATATATATATCTTCTTCTACCTGGCAATTTCCCAGCTTTAACCAGGGTCTGCCTTACATGTTGTGAATAGTTTTGGCTAATTGTTTTTACAACCGGCTGCCAGCCTGACATCAACCCTCTTTGGGAATGCATTAATCAGTGATGTCTAAATACTCTTAGAAAGTACACATGACTCGGAAAAATCACATTGATACTTGCCAGGGCCAGGATCGAACCCGGGCTCTCGTGCACGAGAGGCGTCTTTTAACCATTAGGCAACCCCTGACTTACCTATATAAAATTTTATACATATACATATATAGTATTTATATGTATTTTATTACAGATATGTAGTTATCGCAACAGAAATAATTTTGTTAACTTAAATACCAATTATAATATTATCAACGTTTATTAAAAAGTAACAAAAAAATAATAATTATTATAATTGTACGAAATATGCATCAGATATAATCTTAATTGACGTTTTAAAATGCAACAATGAATGCGAAGGACCATAAAAGCTGTGACGAAAATATGGATGTATAAAGAAAATAACTGAGGTCAATGAATGATTAATGTTACTACAAAAGATACTAATGATATTAAATTAAATTATTCAACTTTTAAAGGCTCTTAACAAGTTTAAATAACCTATGACGTCACTATATTACGTCACGCATTAAATAAGTATAGGCATATATACTACAGTCGACATTGTTTTGTTCTATTTTGATTTAAACATTGTTTTTAATAAAATAATAATATAAAATCTCATATAAAACTTCTTTAAGAGCGTGATAAATGTATATATTTCTTTATATAAGGTGTTACAACACAGATTGAGTGCGTTAAGTTGCTTGATAACCGTATTTTTGTCAAATTACATGTCTTTTTTTTAAATTGTGTTAAATTACAGAAAGCAAATAAAATTATTCACGAGCAGCTTTTTATGTTAGCCTTTTCAATCTAGATATAAATCTTTGAAGTGGTTTACATAAATTTATTTGTTCTTTATGTCTGACATATTTTACTTAATTCAATTGAATTTTTTGTAAATAATATTATAATTTATGAGTATTTTTTCTATTGAAATGGACCAATGTTTTATTTCTCTAAAAGACTTCTCGTCACTTTATATATAATAGATAAAATTATTTAATTACATAATATAAGAGAAAGATGAAAATTCGAGAATATTATAAATATGTATATCAAATGTACAATATATTTTTATTCTGGAACTTAGTTCGAAAATGAAAGTTGAATGATTTGGTTACTAAACAAAGCATTAACTTATTTTTCATTAAATTTCAATAAAACATTTCAAAAATTGCAAAAACTTATAATAAAGAGCCTCTTTGAGCTCTTCAAGAAAAAACAGAGAGCCTATCGGATGTAGTCGCTGTAACATAATAGTTGATGACATTCCTCAAACAGAAAGATTGATGTTACATACTCGTATCATAGAATTTATACATCCTGGAGATTTTAGTAATGGGTTTAGTTACTTCTTGATTGATTATACGAGATATGTTACAAGGAGGGGGGCGGGAAGACCCGCGGGCAACAACATGTCTCCATCAATACCAAGGCTCAGAGATCCTGTCAAATGACGAAATCAAAATGAACGAAGGTGATATTTATCAGAAGCGGTTTAACTGGGGCAGTCGATAATAATAATGAACCGCATATAAAGAACCTCGGCCACTGCAGCTCATCAGTTGGTAACGAGACTTGTCCCCAAAATGAAAAGCATCGTAAGTTACTTGGTACAATAGTTATTATTACATATGTAGCCAAAATTATAGTTGCTAAAATAAAAATAAAAATAAAAATAAAAATATTTTAATAAATTAATATTCATAGCAATTGATTTAACTTTGAAACTATTAGATACGGTTATTAAATTTTTTTTTTCAAACGCCAGCCTTGATGATGATGATTGATGATGAATGATGTATTTGGAAACTAATAATAACAAAGGTGTTTTCGTGTGAAAGCTTTAATTCGTTTGTGTGATATTTTATTTATGAAATTCCATTATTTTCAGATCATCCTTTCTGCTGTGTTGGCGCTGGCTGTTGCCGCACCAGCCAACGTAGAATACAACTCCTATGTACCATTATCAAAATCTACATTTACATCGAGCAGTCAGTCCGTGGACCACGGTAGTACCCATGTGCTACACCCGGTTCTCCCTCTGGCTAAATCAACCCTCACCCACAGCACACATTCGGTCGATCATGGCAGTACTCACGTACTCCACGCTCCACTCATCATGCATGACGTCGAATATCATGTCCCACTAGCGAAAACCACAGTCACCAAGAGCAACCAAGTCGTTGACCACGGCAGTTCCACACTCATCCACGCTCCCATACTTCATACCCATGTAGCGCACGCACCAGTTTATGTACATTCTGGACCCATCGTCTCCTACAAGACTCCAGATTCAGCGATCTCTCACCACAGTTCAACGGTACACGAAACAGTTCCATTGGTCAACTCCTACTATGCCTTCCACTAATGTTATCTATGTTTAATCTATTTTTATGTTTTAATATTTTTCAATAAATTTTTTAAATAAACATTTTCTATTTTTATTATAGAGCCACAAAAATATTAATCTGTGTAAAAATGTAAAACGTTTTCAATTGAAATGAAAAATGTATTGCCTAAAATTCCCTCGTATATGGAATGGTGAGAAATTTTCATCGCAAAACCAGCAGGAACAAAGTTCAACAGACTAGCGTCGAGTGCTTTCCGAGCGATATTCGAAATGTATTGTTCTATGTTACGAGATTCGTTTGTCTCAACATGAAGCTAACTCACGAGCCTTTTTGAAGTCGTACAAATACAGTTCATAGTTTAAGAAATAGGTGCTTTGTGATCGCGCTGAAGATAATCCCGTACATTTGACATACAACTTGATCTTTATTCTTAAAAGTTTTAACACTGATGCAGATAAGATCTTAGCAGATAATCTAATACAATATTTTGTTTCACAACACAAAATTGATTTGGTCGAATAATGGAGAAGAATTACGAAACTTCATTGTGTGAATATTGAAAGACAAAGATTACATATTGAACTAAAGATAAACAATAGGTTGAAGAAAAAAACTATGCAATTATTTAAAATTAAAAACTTATTTTCAATACAGAATAAATATTAGTATCGATAATCGTTTTTATCTCCCTAACATCTCTCGACTCGGTTACATAATACTTTATTGAGCAATGTAAACTTGCTCTGCGGCAATAAAAATAATTACCTATAATTATCTTATGATAGACCCACCGTAAGACATTCATCATTTTTATAAACAAATATTTCACGTCCAGTTTGTTTAAGACAATTTATAGTAACCTTCTAACCTGTTTTTAGTTAATCGAATAATTTGCTTCTGAAATTCTTTATGCTATTTTTTATATCACTTAGAAGGTATGCTTTTTTATATTTGAACATCTTATGTGGTGAATTTTTATTCTTATCAAAAATATTTGAAAGAAAATCACAATGTTTGACTAAGTTCTCTTTACAGTTAGAGACGATCTATGAAATACCTGGCATTGTTTCTAAAGATGCTTTTGTCAAAAGCATGTTTTAATAATAATCATTTCAATATTAAACTATTCCTATGGTTAAGTTATGGAATTTATCAATATTTAAATGTAAGAGGAAAGCGTTTATTTTATGGACATCATAAATTTTATATAAAATAAATTTATTTTCATATACAAAATTGAGTCATCGACAGAAATGAAAGGTTTTCAAAACTAATTGATATTTACAACGTCCAGTGACCGGATCCCGGCTCTGTATATGTACATACAAGAAAGGGTTTCTTAATCAAATTATATGATAAAATCTTTCTTTAATAATTTATATTTAATATAACCATAATCATAATTTTTATTACTCTTACATATCAATAGTCTTTACGTTATCTTTGACAAATTAAATACACTACAAAAACATGATTGTGATAAGATAGAGGTTTTGTGTAGATAAATATATTGTCATATTAGTTATACAATAGTAATATTTTCCAGTTAACTGTTTCAAAACGTCTCCTTCAATGTTCTCAAACAGTTATTTGTATCAAACGCTATAGTAACATGCGATCTTGTAATCATTATGAAACAGCGAGTCCTTTTATTGCAATATCACTTTGCTTTATTTGTTTTGTAACATTCAAACATTAAATTAATATTAATCTATATAGATATTGTTAGTTATTTTTTGAAGTTTTATGTGGCTACGAAAACATCACGTTAAATTCTGAGTTCATTGAAGTGAAACTTATTCAAAGAGGTACTTCATGTGATACTGTTTAATAAAAATTATACTTATTACAGAAGTCATATTTTAATAATTACATTAGATTGTAAGCATTTCAACATAACATACCTTATACGATTTCACTGGCACATTTACGACCTTTTCGTAAACGCTAAATGATTTAATTGTTTCAAAGATCTCCAAAGAAAATTTAAATGAGACTTAAATCAAAAATATTGTATTTATTACCACCATATTTAAGATTTAGGTTGTTTTAAATTCCGATTTTTTAAACAGACTGTTTCTACAATATTCCAATCAACTGCTTTTTTTTTAAAATTTCAGGAAAATTTTAATAATATGGCGTACATTAAGAGTAATGGATTTTTTTTATTATTTAAAGAATTTAGAAACATACTAAAGAATTAGCTCTTCATTCCACAATCGATAATTTATACATAAAAGAATAATAATTGTAAATAATTCGGTCAGTAAGAGAAATTTGTTTCCAAATATTCCTAAGTAAAATATTATTGAAAAATGTTGTTCTATGAGTCTCCGTGTTTATGATAAAATACCTCTGAACGTAAATGAAATTATCTCAGGCTATTTTCAGTAGCTGGAAGATTGAAATTGAAATTCAATTCTTTCGCTAAAAAAAAACAACATCAATAAATTTAATAGTTACCAAAAGTATATTTATTTTAATATCAGTGAGGTAGGTCATGGACTATACATTTTATGATTATTTAACTTTCATGAAAAGGTAGATGAAACTAGTTTACGAAACTGGATTAATTATCATAATTATTGTATCGCTTCTGGAAATGAAATGAGGTAAACAAAATGTTTACTACAAGCTTGAAAAGAATAAACGTGGTTTCGCAACATATTTTAGTAGGTGATATTCATTTTGTTATTCGATACATTAAAATTTTCCCCAACTGAAGCCCGCAGAGTCACTTGAACCAACATTTCTAATTAATTTCACCGCACCGAGCGTTGCGTAATCTCAACTTGACAGAGTGAACTTGGCATCAGCCTACTTGGACAAGATCTTGTTTACATTTATGTATTTATAAATCCCGTCATGTATTACTTAAAAAATTATATGCGGAACTACTAAAATTAATACCGATATGGATGCGGCATTACTGAAAAATCGAATAATACCTCGCAAAAAAAAATGTATGATATAAATGTTTAAATAAATAATTAAACCTCATAGATATTTTTTTTTATAATATAAAATGAAACACAAATTCTTTCGCAACAAGTATTATTTCAATCAAAACATATTAATCGAATGTGATATATATATCTCCACAATTACATGTCAGCACTTTAATGCCATATCCAAAGAAGCTTTATATTCAAATATCCCAAAATTTTGAAGTCCAAGCCAACTCTCATTGTGCAGTTTCGGCAGCCGGTATAAATACGGGCGACCGCCGTCCGATTGTTAGACAATTCGGCAAGTTTGACTTGACAACATCTACCCAGCACCAACCCAACCCAAATTATCAACATGCAGAGCTTCGTAAGTATTTTCATATTGGAACAAACTAACGAAAATCAGAAACTAAATGAAAACACGATCAAAAATAATGGATTAATCTAGATATATTAGATTGCCTTAAACAATAAGTTGATCACATTAGGGTTCTATATTCGCCCTAGATCGTGATAGCCTCGTTTAAATATTTCAGTACATGTAATAGGTTCATCAAATTTTCAATATGTATCAAATCAAAGTCTACTCTCACATACATTATTGTATTCGTGTCACTTATGACATTTCACTGACCTTTTAGTTGGTGGTCACACTCAAGTGTAACAACTCTATTTTTGTACCTCAATAATTATTCCATTCTGTTTCATTAACTGTCAACGCACATGGTAACAATTGAAATTTATCTACATATGTTAGTTCACGTAGGCAATATAATTGACATCACTTTTACCTATTTTACTTTGTTTAAATTTTTAAAAATAATTTTATTTGCATTTAGAGAAATTCTTTGCTATAAAATAATATACTCGTGGATGTATTATTTCTTAGTGTATTATCTTCATTTGATCTGATTCACGACTTAGTTTACGGTCTATTAAAACGTGCCAACGTAAATAGCCTTCATACATTTAAATCGAAATTTTATGTTCAAATGTTTTTTTTATAACTTTTGGTCTTAATCTTATTTATACTTGATTTATCTTATATTCAGTGAAAAACTAAACTTATAATATAAAAATCTACGAGTTGTATGTTAAAAACGTCGGCGAAGCGTTTGGGTGTCACTGATCACGGCCACATGAATTTAATTTCCATTACATGATTACACTTGAGACTGAATCCATCAACAGTCATCTCATCATGATCCGCGTTGAGGTGGCAATACATCAGTTCCTAATGTATTTTAATATTTGCAGATCGTATTCGTATCTTTCCTGGCCTGCGCCGCTGCCGCCCCTGGTCTCTTGGTGGCTCATGCCTCCCCAGTAGTGGCTGCAGTCCACGCTGTTCCCGTGGTCGGATCAAAGACGACCATCACTAAGAGCAGCCAGGTGGTGAACCACGGATCGCCCGTGGTCCACGCTGTCCACACTCCAGTGGTAGCAGCCGTCCCTGTTGTGAAAGCCGCCGTAGTTGCCCCAGTTGTCCACGCTGCTCCAGTTGTTCACGCCGTACACGCTGCCCCAGTGGTTCACGCTGTTCACGCTGCCCCCGTGGTTCACGCTGTTCACGCTGCCCCAGTAGTCCACGCTGTCCACGCTGCTCCCGTCGTCGTGAAGACCGTCCCCTCAGCAGTATCACACAGCAGCTCCGTCGTCAGCCACACCCCGATCAAAGCTCTCCCAGTTGTTGCCGTTCACTAAGTTAATATTTGTTTAATACATTACGCGACCTCTTAGAATAAATTTTGTACCCAAAAATACTGTATCTGTTATTTCATTATTTCAGCCTTGACGAATAACTAACCTTTTATGGGTAGATTTTATGTACATTTTTGGTTCCTTTTTAACCTAAAACACATCAATAATATTTTCACTAATGTCTCATTAAAATATTATATAACCGCATTGATAAGACCTGTTATATGAGAATCAAAACATGCCCTTAACAAGGTAATTGGTTTCCAGCTAACAGACTAACGCCTACTATTCTCAGAACTCGAACAGTGCAAAAGAAACGCAGACGCTTTTTAAAAAGTAACATAATACACGCAAAATAATGAGTAAACAATGACTGGTTAAATTTTATTAAATACGCAATAAAAAGTATATAAAAGAACTCAAACGAATACAATATTACCAAAAACCTATTTTATTTATGAATTAAACAAAACCTTTGTAGAAGTTGTAATTACAATTTGATTAAAGAACCTAATTTACATATTTTGAAGAATGTAGTTAACACCTTCAATACCAATAAACATATTATATATGTCAACTAACCTCGCTATGTTTTCTAAATATTTTATATTTTCTGACAGTCTGAATATTTATGAGAGAAAAGCCTATGTAAACTGTACAAAATTCTACATGATACTCTACAAATCCTCAAGTGGTCGTAATTCAGTTAACCCACATACAGTGAGACATTTAAATCATTCCAGAAACTCATCAGAAAAAAAATGCAAAATAAGACAATATAGTTTACCGTATTGACGCGAAAAAAGTGTCTAATTTTTCTGATAGATGGATTAATGCACTTGTAATGGAAACGAACTATTAACATCTATGGCATCCATGATTAATACCAAATGATAGTGGGAACACGTCACGTATAGTGCATGCGACACTTCTAGAATATAACCACTAAAAGTAATTGCATCACTTTAATGTAAAAAACGCCATAAATGGGGTAATTCGGTGTGAGCTTAAGAACATTCCATACCATATAAGTGTTGGCGAATATAAGACGAGTTGAAATGTTTTTATAAATTAAAAGAAAACTACCAATTTGTTAGTATGTTTAAGTATTTCATGGTCCTGGAATGTATTTTAAAATGTATCGTTTGCTAACTAATGTATTAGGTATCACTACATTAATATGTTATTATATTTTTTCATGACTCTCCCTATGTGTAACATAAAATATTGGAAAAAAGTATTTCCTCCCAATTCATTATTACAAAAGTTTAAATAATAAAATATCGATTAAAAATACTTGTACATGAGCAAGGTGTAAGTTTGCAATCGCCAGAATAAGTATGAAAACTCGACAAATGGCACCATCATCCCTATATTGTGGATAAATCTTATATGTATATAGAATGCTTAATTCATTTGATTTGAGTCAGGTCACGAAAGCTTAATTGTTAAAGCAACTGGAACGAGACATTTGCTGGTTCGAATCTTTCAATCTTTATTTTCTTATTTAAGTATTAAATGAACGTCACTTGTATGTTATAAAAATAATTGTAGAAAAGTAAATATACGTAACTCATTCTATAAAAACGAGATCTCATTAATTGAACATTAATTTTGGAGTTATTCATTCTGGTCCAGTTGGTAATGATTAAAAACTTAATCTGAAATCTATTTACACTAAAAATAAGTTATATTTTCAGGTTTACTATTCTTAAAGTACACTGCACAGTGTACATCATTACCCCAAATGGGATCCCATCACTTTACTCTTCATACTTTCACCATCCAACCACCAATATATTACCATACATTGATCACCCCTCCTTCTGTCAGATCGACACAAATTCACTGCGTATTTCTATATTCTATCATTTGAAGATAAAAACTTACGAAAATTGCGTAGCATGACCAGCACAAAGTTTATACATCAAAGAATCAGCCATTATACGAAACAATTGTTTAACCTTCTTATCAAATCTATTCTTTCAAAACGCTAGAAGTATTTAGTACAAGATATTTCTTTGTATTTAGCCGTCCGTTTATGTTTCAAAGTTCTTATTTAATGTTTGTATTAATTTATACATGACATAGATATTATTACTTTTTATAATTTTCTTCTTTGTATTTCGTTACATTATTCTTATTCATAAACTTATATTTTAGTTTCAATCATACTTCGTGAATTTTATTGTTTTTTCTATCTCTATGTACGAGTATCAAATATTGTAAGTACTTTTATATTCTTAAATATGAGTAAAATTACTTTGCAATTTCAATGGTTTCATTAAAGTTAGTTCACAATGTTTGTGTTTTTTGTTTTATTCCAGTGACCCAGATACTTATGTATTTAGGCTCTGAGGTATATCTTACGCTTATTAGTGATTCCCTTGGGTTGCAAAATATCCGACCTATTTTCCAACTTGAGTGAAAGCCTGAGATTTGGGGTAACGTTCAGATATAGTATAAAGTTCCGATTTATTAAAGTCCGATGGTTTCACTCTGAATAACACGTAATAAAGTTTTCCCTTGTGGTCTGTTACGTTAACTACTGACAAACAAACGAATTACTTCTTACGTATACGATACATTATTAAAACATGGACTTGTACTTGATTATTTTCGCCACGAGTTTCTTTTTAAAGTGCTATGATATTTGAAGTTTATATATTTTCAAATAGCACTAACCTCAATAAGACAAATGTAAAAAAATAGTCGTGTGTTTTAAATCGTAGGTCAGATATTTTTCTCCATATATTGCGCCCTAGAGACAGTTACACGGCCTCGCTTGTAGTAGTAAAAATACTTGCAGAGATCGTGATCGTTATCACACTTCACATCAGCTCACCTTTTTATATTATATTATAATGAAACTGCTATAATTTCATAACTTTAAATATGTCGAAATAATGACATGTTTAATTTTCATTTCGTATTTAAAACGTGTGCAGTTTCTTTTTTTACAACTTACGTAAATATTTTTTTTAAATTATTTTATCTTTTTCGTAATGTTTGTTATCTTCAATCAAATTTGAAGGCATGTTACTATCATATAAATACTTATTCAATTAAATGTCCCGCTCATGATTCGTGACCGCATTACAGCAACCTTTGCGATGACATTGACTTTAGCAAGTGTGTCACCATGACACTACCATCGTTAAACGCCATATAATGATGGATCCACAGCTCTATAATAATTATAAATGTTTAACCACACCCTTATTATAAAACCAGATATACTTATACCACGAATAATAAATTCCTACATTTATAGTTTTAACACTAATTACATATAATTAACTCATTAAAAAGTTAAATTCTTAATTATTAATTATGATTAAATGACCTCAATTCCTTATATTTTCAACGTAACCTAAGATATACCGAATGTCTTATAGTTTAGTTTGTTTTTAGGATTTCAATATTATAATTTATTTCGTCTTGTCTATTATAACAGTTCTTTAGCAAATCAATTATCCTGCCAGGTCTGATTCTTAACAGCTCTATGGTTTTTTAAGATTTATATAAACATGAGGTTAAGCATCTTGTTAATCTGAAGCCGCCTCTCAACATGCAACGACATCTCTTTATAGTAAGTTAAATAATTAAATTAATTAACAAGTAATACAAAACTTCTTCTATTATACACAGTTCTTAAACAAACTAATCATATTATTACTTTAAAACTGAAAACTCTTTTTAATGTACAAAGAGATATTTTACTTTTGCATATCTGTTTACAATTTTGAGAATAATTACTGGGATTTTATGTAGTAAGATTAATTATAAAAATTGTATCGGATTTGAGGTCTTAAATTTAGTTCGAAAACTTTGATTAAAGTAACAGTCATTACTTTATATATTAATATAATGTTTTCAGCTTCTGGCCGTGACCGTGCTGGCTTCAGCCGCACCAGCCCCTGGATACTTCCATGAGACAGTGCACGCACCACTAATCCACCCCGTGGTTCACGCGCCCATAATACATTCGGCGCCCATAGTGCATCACGCGCCCATTATTCATTCGGCGCCCATAGTCCATCACGCGCCCATCATACATTCGGCTCCAATAGTACATCATTCACTGCCAGTAGTTCATGGGGTGCATGCCCCCATAGTAAAATATAAGCTGAAGTCACATTACCATCTCTTCGGTTAATTGAATTATAACTTTATTACTTTGTACAACTTATATAAGAAATTTTATTCATTTAATAATGTATATTACTTTCAAATAATAGTTTATATATTCAAATTAACAAAGACTGTATTTTACAAAAGTAGACATTACTATCTGTTACCCATTTTTATATATTATGATGTTTTAATAAACAAGAAGTTTATTATTGACTTATGTGTTTTTTAAACCTTGTCAAAGATATTTATTTTTGATGTTAAAAAAACTAAATAAAATCTATTAGTAAGTAATTCAATAGAGCCGTTTCTTTTCAATCGTAATTTATAATGTACTTGGAGTGAAAAAGACATAAAAGCGATGAAACTGAGAACTTTTTAATTTATACAAAATAATAATTATCAGCACAGACAATGTTTTAATTCTATTAAAAATCTTAGTCAAAACTTTAATGACTAGTTTGAGATGAACGAATTAAAACCTCTTTTAACTGAATGAAATTAAACGATGTTTAAATGAAATCTTCGTATACTATCTACTCGTAATATATGTCCAACTGTGGATATATTGGTTCAGACATTTAATCTGAGTGAATGATAAACACAGATGCTGTTAGCGCGGAGAAACAACTCCAGCGACAACAGCACATTAAATGTAACGACAATCTCATCTAAATAAGTTAAATCCGACTGTAAACAGGACTTTGAGATCATTATCAAGCGATATGCATTTAGAGCGTTAGACAGTTCGTTGGCCTCAAACAATTAGCAAAGTGTACGGCGCTTAATGGATACCTTTTAAATCCAATTAGGGGTGACGGTTTGAAATATTAGAATGGGAATTTCCTGTTATGAATATGAAGTTCGTGTGATTTACGCCAAGTCTGTCTACAACATTTAGATATACATCGATATTGTTCAAAACATGACCTTAATGGGACAATGACACAGCCTGCTGCGTCAGGAAGTCAAGTATTCATTATTTGATAGTGTGAACTTATTGAAGTAATTAGCTGCCTATAGATGTTAACAAGACGTCAATTAATAAACAACATTCCCTATTGTAATAGGACTTCAAAATAAGTGAGGAAACTTCTAATCATTCCATGTATTCACCGTGCGGGTGCCGGGTCTATAGCGTTGCAGAGAGAGGAGCTTCAACAGTGCCTGGGACTTGAGACCCAGGTGTAGGTTTAAGGGCCCCTTTCTCTATCTTACCAAATTTGAAACGAACCTAAGTAGGGCTGCCTTCGTATTAATCTGGACAGGCCCAAGTCTTTTAATGGGCTATAGAGTGATTTAGATATTATACCTCTCGCTCCCACTTCTACCGCTTACAAATTTACGACAAACCCATTATTGTTTATAAATTGAAAACTATCGTAAAGTTGTTCATTGTTTCTGAAGTTGGTACAGTATAAATGTTTATTAAGGATGGCAGCATATATGAAATAGCTTTATAACATTCTGTCTATATATAGCGAAATGAACAATGGATTCTGTCTAAAAAGGTTTTAGGACATTTCCATAATAGTAATTCTAAAATTTAATATCAAACGAAAATCTTTTAATTTTTAGGAAAATTATTAAAATAATAGTTTATACCCATACAGAAAGTAAATAATATACATTTTTCCACTTTTAATAATCTGCACATTCCTTGAGAATTTTCTTAAAGAAATCTCAATGCAATTACCAATTTAATTTAACGTCCGGATGAAAGAAATTTGCTCTAGAAAAGTGAGAACACTGTATTAATTCTTGTATTTTTTCTTAAACACTTTAAATGAATTCATAATGTTTTAATTTTCTTAAAATAATATCCCTGTCAAAGATACATAACTTTATATTTGTTTTGTTTTTATATCCGAATATGGAAGTATAATATGCAACTGAAATCATATGTAACTGAGATTAAACGAGCTACACGGTCATATTATGCTGAGTGAGGAATGTAAGATGAAAATAAAATTGAATATTATAAGTATAAAATAATATAAACACATTGCTAGGAAGTGCAGTCTTACAAAATGTCTTTGAACCAAAAGGTTTGCAATGTCAATTAATTGATCTAACGATACAATCTTACTTCCTATAATTATGCATCTTGTTACAAGGTGAAATTCTTCATTATTTTCCTAATAAGGTAATAATTACAGGTTTACAATTAACGTTACACGAACCTTTAAAATATGAACAGTTGACTTAGAGGAACAATTTCTTTCTTTTTTTTTTAAACTAGGAAACTTTTAAATGTGGTTATTTTATTATATGTCAAAAGTAAAAATGTTTAATTTAATTAGATCTAACACCAACTTAAGTTTCATTTAAATGTTTAATTCTTGTCAATATGTTTTAAGGGAAAATATTTTACCTTATTATTAAATAGAATTTATATAAAATGTTTGTTTTATCGAGTATAAATCAGGGAAATAGCCAACGTTCCCTCGAGTGCGGTCTCGTGTATGGAAAACTTCATTAAAAATGTTATTACTAAGTTACTTGTTGCATTCAAAATAAACTCACATCGAATATACTTGTAACATATATAGTTTATACTAACAGAGTTATTTCTACGCGATGTCAAACTAAATTAATTCCTTCCCACATTCAAATATCGGAACACCTTTCCTCGTAGGAGTGAGGAGGAAGATTATGCTGAGCTTAGTATGAGAGTTCTCACAATTCCTTTCAAAAGTTTCGTATTCAACATTCTTCTATATTTTATTTATATTTATACACAGGAGCCACAGTCGAATATAATGTATCGAATTGAAAAGTAAATGCTGACATAACTTGACTGCATTTTTGCAACATCTTCTCAGCAAACATTTTGAAAATATGAATGGCGCATTTACATATAATAGAATAGAACTTTTATAATATACATACTAGCAATTTTCCGTGACTTTACCTTCTGTGTATTGAGATAATTCAATATCAAACAAACGTTCATCTATATCTTTTCAGGTTCAGTTTAGTTCAGTTTAGTTCAGTTTGGTTCAGTTTCTATAAGTTACAAGAAAGGTAAATAAACATAATTCAAAATTATATTTGTATGTGTAGAAAAAACTAAAAACAGCTCGTTTGATAGTAAGCTAAGAAGTGAAAACTGATTACCTACTAGATAAGGGTAGAAGCTAAGTAGCATGAAGTTATGAGTAAAACTGCCTATTTACCTTACACTCTTATATGTAGTAATTGATATCAATAGAAGATTAAAATGAGATTACCTTTCAAATACACATATTTTGAAAGGATTCTGAATAGAATACCTGAAGTAACTTATGTTAGAAGGAATATTAAGAAGACAGCCTCGAGGCTAGTGAAGGTCCACAAGAATCAATTAATATATTTACAATACAGAGATCCGATCTCACGGGTTCAGTTGTCGTGAAACTGATATACAGCGTGTTCATATTACGTCTATTACAATATATTATATATTTAAATGAAACTAATATTTTTTGGGATATACTTAGCGTATTGTATTATTGTAAAACCTACATTCTTCCGACATCTCGGCTACTTTTCAGCAACCGTGACCACGGCAGACGAGATGACTTAGATCTCTTTATGTGCACCAGTGCGGACTGGAACTCTCCAACAGATTATTCTGGTTGGAGTACCTCAAGAAGAACAAAGCTACATTATTGATCTTTGAATTTCCTCAAGAGATGCCGAGATCATGACATCATACAAACATGTGTCAAAATATCATATAAAAAAGACATCAAACATGGCGGTAGGGTATCCATCAGGGAAGTAAACGATTACATACTTAGATTAACGACAATTACTTATTACAACAAAACATTTCGATTCAAATATACTAAGAAACAACGAACGCAATATACTAATAATATTATTTGTAAAGCAATATCAAAAGAAAAGTTTTAAAACGTTCATTTTATGATATTTTTACGTATGAATAAACTTTATCCTTTCAACTTCTTGAACGCTTTTATATTTTATCAGCAGCCTTCGCTAATATTTGATAATATACCAAATCGTCGAGAAAACGTCTAGGTGTCTTGTAAGTTATCTTAGTATAGTGTTACGTAAATTTTAGTTTGTATTTTTACATAATATAAAATATATTATTATTATTTAAGATATCAAAACACGAAATTAAAAGTAATCTGAGTAACTTTACAAAGTAAATAAGATATTGATTACATAATATAAATCTAGATGTACTTTTTAGTCAAATGAATTATTTGACCAATCTTAATCAGTTTTATTAATGAAATATGACGTCTTTTGATTTGTTTTTCGTGTTTCTATAGTTTGATATTCACACTCCTAGTGACGTCTGTGTATAAAGAGAAATAAACGTTTTATAAAAACACTATACAGAAGTTTTATAGGAGACTTTATTTTGTTTAGCATATTTCGTACAGAGATTTATGCATTCAAATAGATTTCTCACCGCAAGGGAATCGAAATGTACTAAGATGAATTGTTCAAAAATTACCTTAAAATTTATAATAAATAGAAGTGTGACTCACTTATATTATATTAGTTGTACAAATTGTATTTATACTAGAAATATATATTTTTAAGAAAGATTTTGAATGTTCTCGTTTGTAAACCAATTCTGCTTATTTCTTATTTGACTTACAATTTTCAAACCTTAGTTAGTTCTAATATTTTCTTCCTCATCGCAATCTATAAGCAATTTTGAAGTATCAATAAGTCTCAGAACTTAATAGTTACGTAACACTTTACAATAAGATTTGACTTAATATTTGTCTTTCAAAATAAATTTCAGCTGTACTATATTTAGTGTAACGTAATTTGTAGAAAATTCTCAGAATTTAATTAAGATTTAGGATTGTTTTACTTGTATTTAGTTTAATTAATTTAATATAAATACAGACTCAGTCATGTTAAATACATATAAAATTAAACAATATTAATGAAACACAATTATTAAGAGTATCACCCTATATATAGTATTTGGCGTCTCACACTCGAGTTGCACGTTGCCTAACAACAGCCTAAGGATTTATTACAAGTAGATATTTAGCCTAGAGAATATAACGCAGGACCTATAAAAGGGCTGAGATCAACACAATCCATACACACAGCTGACTTCCTTCGAACCGGTCTTACAGAAACAATTATACAAAATGTTTAAACTGGTGAGTATACGATAGTTATAATCATTAATTATAGTAATATTTATTAATATCTTTATTTAATCTTTTTATTTTATTAAGTATGTAAGTGTGAAATAGTGAAGAATAGTTTCATTCGTTCTCTTAATCATGTTATTTTCAATCTTACAGACAATCCTCTTTGCCGTGATCGCAGTCGTGAACTGTGGCATCATAGCGCCAGTAGTCCCCGTGGCTCATCCCGTGGTACACCACGTGGCCCCCGTGGCACCCGTGGTCCCCGTGGCAGCCCTCTCCCACTCGGCTGTGGTCCACCACGCTCCCGTCGTTCCCATAGTCAAACATGCTCCCATCGTGCCAATCGTGAAACACGCGCCTCTCATAGCCGTCCATCATCATTAAGGCATTTAAAATAAAATATATTTTACTTATCTCACACATATCTTTCTTTTAATCATCCTTTGATCATTGTCAGATGAACCAACAGCCAACCTTATAACTTTAACTTTAGTACAGCTAGTGTCGTATAAACGGCCCTGTTGGGTGACATATTTGAATATTCTCAGCAATATATCAAAGGCCACATTACGAGAGATTTATCTGGCTTGCATTTGTTCCATTTCATATTCCGACCACATACGACGTGGTGTCATTGACACTACTCTAATTTATAATAAGCTATTGTAGGAACATCACATGTTATTATTAGGCAACTTATAAAATAATAGGTTATTATTTTGGAAAAATTTTATTTATAGTCCAAAGATTTTACACTTGTTTAAATATAGTGATAAGTTTCAGAATAGATGTTTGGGATACATAAAGAGCCTCATATCAATTAAATTGACAATCAAACAAACGCTTCCTCTATTTTTCGAGGAATGGTTGATCCTTCAGCATCCGGTCGAAACTGATACGTAATTAATGGGTATTTAATTAAAGTGGAGAATCGATTTTCAAGACCAGTAGAGATGAAATACAATAAAAATTAATTTTAAATGACGAGCCTTTAAATTTAACGTGTATCGGTACAGTTCTTTCAAGTTTAAGGAATTAGAAGATATACCACATCGAAAACATATTGTTGATAAAGTAATTGAATACTTTTAGATTACTAACAATATCTTTTTGAGGAAACAAATGAATCTATTTGCACTATTAAAATGTTTTTTGATTAAAGATTTACATGCATGGAAATTGTCGAATATTTATCTCGTCAACCTCTTAAAACCAGGGCCGATTTCTCCAAGAGGTGAATCTATCTAACACACGCCTAATCACTTTTACTTTGCGTCAGATTTATTATAGTTATAAATACACTAACAGTAACAATTGCTATTTAATTGCTTTTATTTATAAACCTTATTCAAGAAGGCGTATAATTTCCTCGTAAAATGCTCTTTATGAGACAAGTCAGTAAAAATACATTTTATCTCAAACAAAAATGAATGCGTCTCGAAAAGAACAGGGTTTTATATATGAATTTAGGCATTTTGATATTATATACACAAATGTAACATCATGTAGGGAAAATTACGCTTTCGGAGTATTTTTCTACCGACCATACCTTTTACTTATTTGTTATAAATCAGTACGTAATACCTTTTAACTCTTTTAGAGAAGCAGGCGTCAAAGTCTTAATATATATTATTAATGTATAAATAATTGATATTTAGAAGCCTCACCTGGAAGAAAACGTCTTATCAACTTACACAACACTCGACAAATTAATTATAACTTGGTCCCTTTTAAATAATTTAATGTTTTCACAGAGAGGAAGTATTTGAATACCTTAATACCGCACTTTGCTTCTGCAATTATGTAAGGCGGAGAGATAAATTCCTAAACAATTCAAGTTTCTGAGTTGTCTTTAACGAAATTTTATATATGTTAGTATATAAATATATAAATATACAGTTATTTTTCAGAAAAACTACAAATTTGGATAATTAGTTTGAAATAAACGGTTTAGCTAAATAAGAAAAATTGTATATAGTGGGATTCGTCTCTATTGCTCGCCGACAGATGAATAATTATGTCAAAATAGAGTAATAATAATGGTAGCTGACTATCATAATATACTATATTATTCAAATGTTCTCCCTCACCGTTTGATTCAGGTATGAAAATAAACATTTTCAATGCAGAGTGTAAAGTTTTAAAGTAATTTTGAATGATACATTAGATGAAAAACAACCAAAGTTCCTTTTCATAAAATGTAATTAAAATCCTCCCCTTACTTATTTCATGAACATTGATTTTTTTATTTAAACGTCCCATTTAACTGAATTTGAGAAAATAGTGTTCTTTAATTCTGTAAAAACCCACAAATCCTATAAGAGCCTGAATATAACAAAGTCGACATTAGTACTATCAAGGGTTTTGAACTTCCTCCACTGATTTATTAAGGTCCACTTATATACCCGAAATCTTCAATCCATGTCTTTATGTAACTGATACTATACATACAAGAGTACATATATATTCCTTATTTATTTGTAAACAATTCTAATATTGTATTAGATATAGACTCGGTTGGATTAAATTTGTTCAACACTTAAGAAAGTAAAAATCAAACAAAATATTCTCTAAAGGGGAAAAAATTCTGTAAGAGCCGTAGAGTGTTTGGGTATGGAAATGAAAAGATTCGGATGTAGGTCACGCGAGCTATATTATAAAAATGATTTTGTATAACAACCATCTACATATTAGATGTTTGAGAAGAGTTCAATAAACCACGCTATCTCCGTCTGTTCAATGAGTGTATGAGTACATAATATATATTTGTTTATAATACGTTCATTGTATTGTGAACTGAGGTATACTATGAGTATTATGACTACTATATCATATCAATATCATTAATTAATCGTTTACAAGTTACAGTTGAGTTGTATCAAAGATGTTATTACTGGGCGGTGCTGTTTGTTCGTGAAATTCAGGGAAACGTTTGAAATGTCAACGAAGACCCTCGTTCAAAAGGAAAATCTTAATAATATCGTTAAATTTATTCTAAAGTCAATTATGGTTATAAAATATATAACTTCCAATATTATATCTTCATTAATTATTTTGACTGAAATTTTATCAAGTTTTATAGTTAAATTTGTCTTTAATTAAGATTACTCAACTAGTTTTTGGTCACGACAAGATAGGTAGAGTATTTTTATTTACTACATATTATTATAAGAACATAAACAAAACATAATATATTTTTTCTGATGAAGAAGCCAATCTATTCTATAAAAGGAGCAACCTCTTCCGGAATTTTTTGACGCAGAGACTTGACAAATACCATGAAAGGACCTTCGAAAAGTTCCAATCGCATTATGAGGTTTTTATTATAATGGGGCCCATAGACCGGGTCAAGGGAAAAATATAGCCTTGAAGGCTCAGGTGAATTATAGACGTATCTTTAATGGGGAGGCATCTATAGCGCGGACCTGTGCGAAATAAATTAACCTATGGTACCATAAGCTGAAGGAAAAATGATTTGTACGTAGGAAAGTAGGAACTTTACTGATTCTAAATTTGTGGGACTAGGAAAGCTCGAATTTAAATTTGGCAAGATTTTGTGACTTCCATATAATAATTAATAATAAGTTATGATGGTCTAACACTATAATGTCAAAAACAATCAATTGCTTTGCCTTTCCTTGTGATCTAAACCATACTTTTGATATGACCTTTCTTTTCACGTTAAATACATATGAATGAAAAACCAAACGACTATTTATCAAATATTATAAGACCCTAGAATATATGTACATTATTAATAGGCATCGCTTACATCGAGAAACTGAACATTAAATAAACTGGCGGATATTTTGTAAGCCGTTTAATGAATGGTTGTCTTCATGAGGGTATTTATGAATATATTAAGTTTATTTATGACACAAGAGGTCTGGAGTTCTCTCCAATTAACCGTTCGTAATGAGCAGTCGGTCTTTTGCCAAGAATTAACATACGTGCGCCGTTATGTAGGTCAAGTTTAAATTGTTTGCGGCTGAAGGTAATCTCGATGCGAAACATATTCCACGGAGTTTTTACGGCTCACGTTGATTTCAATGTAAGCTAGCAAAACAATATAGCAAACTTTTATGTAATTCGAATCTCCTATAGTGTAATCTGATATGGTGATATCAAATATAACAAATCAATACCAAATCTTCTTCAAGTGAGAAGACGTCTTTTCTTAGCAGTGAGCTCTGATAGGCTGATGATGATGATATCAGCTTACCAATTGATCAGTATATTAATTATATAATAGAAATTATTTTATAGTGTGCAAGAATTAAATCAAATTTTTCAAGAGTTTAAACTTACCGATCTAGGGACACAGCTACCAGGCTGTACACGGAGGCTGCTACAGAGAGTCCTTGGACGTAGGGAACAGTCTTACACATGAGCCAGCCGAGCACCCAAGCTGAAAATAATACAGACATCACTAATATGATCACAAGAATAAGCGATTAGCATGAAAAATTAGAGCTATAACTACACTGTAGTCGTTTTACAAATCAATTACAATACTACGATCGATGTGAGTAGAGAAATTACTGTTTAAATAAAACTTATATTTTTCGTATACACTTTGTAAAAAACTACATAATCCCGACGTTTTTGCTACTTTCCAGCAAACGTGATTATGGTGTAGTTTACAAAAATAAAGAACGATACTATCCGATAAATAAAAAATATTAGTTTCATTCAAATGAATACTCGCAAAAGCCTTAGATCTCATTAATTAGTGTTTTTAAATATATGTGATCTGATATTAAACATTCTTTTTCATAATATCTCGGCCCTATGTATGTAAGTATGTACTGGTCACGTCGGTAGGAGCATCCCTGCGAGAGGCTCACCTCAGCAACAGGTTTTGCTAAATCAATATTTACACCATACTCTGCACCTAAAACTGGGTCAGGTCACTGTACCTGTGAACCTTCAGCCTTGCATTCCGCTATCTCTGACTTTCTCCCACTTCAACATTATGCCATATCCCTATCTCCTTCGCACTCGACCTTGTCCTGGCGCGGGACGCATTACAATACAAAAGCCGGAAATGACAGAGCCGTATTCAATTAAATGTGTGTTTTAGCCGACTGTATTAAAGTCGCTATTTCATTGTGCGACGTCAAGGAAGAGTTGCATCGGCTAATAGTATCGATTTAGACGTCTAATAACGAACTGATTTTACGTTAATGACAAATATTTTGGGTTTTTATATAGAGCTTATTAAAATTCCTTGACCTGAACAATGAAGTGTTCTACAGAAGTATGGAAACGAGGCTGAATTATGAATAAGGACTCCGCAGGGTTTTCGGTTGGAGAATAAACTTTGAGTCAATAGCATCAGAAAAAATGATTTCGAGGAATTAACATCAAGAACTTCCAAGAAAGAGAGAAAGATATACATGTTAAATGATCTACGATACTGAAAAACTATTAAATTCAAAATTGTAATTCACTCAAAAAATATTTCAATATAACATTCAAACTTAAATTGTTATTAAAAAACTGTAAGCTCTGCTCATGAAGAGTTTATTTTTTACAATCACTTTGGCTTGATCCTTTGACCTATATAATACAAGAAGTCTACTCTTATTTTTTTTATAATATGTACATATTCTTCTTATTTCATTTATAACTTATTTATGTAACAATTTAATTATTATTTGTCACACCTCAATTTATTTATGACTGGAGTAATAAAATAAGCAAGATCTCTTGAATTTTTAAAATATAAATACTGCTGACACGAGTGTAGTGTTATATTATATTATAGATAAATTGAGAAAAGCTTAAATAGATATAAATTATTATCCCAGTAGTGGGAGAGACAGTAATCAGTTATTACCTTACAATTATTTGAAATCCTTCATAACTCAGTTCATATTAAATAATGTTAATAAACCAACTTCTGTTTGTTTCCAGTCTACAGTCTGTTAGTCTGTTTGTCTTTGAGAATAATACTTTGGTATTATTTTAAATGTTCATATATCTAAATGATTATTTAATATGTAGTATTTAGAGGTGCCTTGTTATGATGTTATATAAGTGTTTCTTGCCGTGAGTTTCCCTTGAAATTTCTATAATTCAGAGCAAACCCTTTACAGAATCCATGTTATTACCAGCCTCGGGCCTGGATTCGACCTTGGACCCTCGGCCTTTAAGGGCGCATTTCAATATAAACCCCGCCTTAGCAAGCTTCTTTATGGATGCAAAACTTTTGGAACCTGCATTTTAAATATCCACCATGGTCCTACTCACTTTAAGAAAATATTATTTTCTTTATCATAACTATGTATATCTACAGTATATCCATTTTAACTTTTAATTTGACACATATATTTTTATACTGTTTGCTACAATAAAGAAAGTAAGATAATTAAATTTGAAGATATCGAATAGAACAATAATCAAAATGATTATAATATATGAGTCGAGGGGACGTTTAAGAGTTGTTTAATTAATAATATAAATGTTTATTATAATAATGAGATGCAGAGAGTCCTGGTTGATCCAGGTATGAAGTGGGTCAGTTGGATGTAGGGCGCGGTGTTGCCGCTCCAGACTGGGACCGTTTCTTACATACATTGTTTATGTTGGATGTCTTTAAATTATTCATACCAGTTACTTTAATGATCTTTTAATGACTACGCTTGTTTTTCAACCGATGAATATATTAATAATATTATTTTATACAGACCTTTAAATATATAAATGTAATTATTTCGCTAGGTCCAAGACTTTTTTATTAAAAATTTTAGTTATTTTCTTCTTAAATAATTTTGCTTAATCGTTTATAACCAATAAATAATCTTACTTGCTTTATTTTATTTCCTTCTCGTACATTTAGAAAATCTTTTTCATTTACCTAATTTTTTATATCAAACTTGAATGACTTTCTAACAAAAACAACCACAGAACTAAAACAGAACATTAATAAACAACATATAATTATGTTTTCGAGAACTTTAATTTATTATTTACATAAAATTATTCACAGCTTTATATTCTCTGTAAATGAAAAACGTATCTCAAGGCAATTAATAGTATAAAAATGGAATGATTGTGTGGAAGACAATTTGATTTATAAGATTGTTATCAGAGGCCTACTAATGTTATAATGCGGGTTTCGGCTAACACATTTGATAAAGACATCTATCTTGAATGACCAGAGATCTAGACCTGTCATTTATTCACCAAGTCAAATCCAAATCTATAGAAGTTTTTACTACTTGTACAGTAATTGTTAAAAGATATATTTTTTAATATATTTTAAGGTTTCTTTCGACGTTGGATATTTTATATAACTATAAACTCAGGATTACGGAACCAAAGTAAATAACTAATAAATTGTTAGTAATATTTTTCTTCCTCCAAGTTCTATGTTTTACAACGTTCAGTCCAAAAAGAACCGATGCATTCTAAAGTAACAAAACAAATTGATAGTTTAGTTTTACGAGGGCGACAACATTTACCATTTCATGTGAGATTATCTTTTATTTGCTTCTCGATTTGTTTTCTGAGATATTGTTGTAAAACAACGGAATAGCTTTTTATGTAATTCGAATATATTAGTTTTCTTATATAACACCAATCCAATTTTTCATTTTCCATTTCATTACGTTTCATACAGTTTCTTTTTTGTTTACCTAGTATATGAAAACTATGACAAACGTTTAAGTAGTTATCGGATAATTATATCAGTAATAAATGTAATAATAGGTTTAAAACATAGCACACCATAAAATATACTGTTAATAATGAAAATAATAAAACCATATTCCTTAACTATACTCATAATAAATAGTTCTCAATCAAGTATTTAAAAAGATATTTTGCTATAAATTCAAGAAAAGAAAATCTTTTTAAAATTAATATATTAATACCAAATATCTCAAAATAAATGCAAACCGGAGCAGATGTTTAAGTGAAGACGGAAATTTTAATATTCGGAGACTTGAAACACAACCTTGTCTGTCACAACTCACAGTACAAGACGCTACAGAGAGTTGTACCGTCACACCATCTATTGGAATATTTCTCTGACAGTGATAGAATATTTGATTTATTAATATGAATAATATGTACATAATAATTCAAAAAAGTGTATGTCATAAAATTAATTATTGTTTTAATTGATGCTATTGAAATACTTAAAAATACTAGTGACAGTAAACACATAGAAAACATAAGTAAAATTTTATTTTGCTGACAAAATTAATATCAATCATAATAAATAATTATTTAAAATATAGAAACAATATAATATAATTTCCTGTTTCCTTTTATTCTAAGGAACATATTTTCTGACATATGATAGATGGACATCTGCCAAGTACTTATAGAAGTGAGAGATGCGTTTATATAGGATGAAAAATTCTGATAATTTTATCAATTTCTTGGGTAGAGATTGATAATACAATACATTGGCTATTTATCAGTTGCCCAACAACAGAAGCAAAATATTAATGTTGTATCATGAAATTAATGATGGCTTTTAGCTCCGGCGTCGTTCACTTGATGTATGTCTGTAGTCCGGAATAAGAAATCATTTATTTGTAGTTTCCATTGCAGCTATCAAAGGACCAAAGCAATAGAAGTGTACTTTTAATTTGTTCGAACCAAAAATAAAGACAATAACATATTGTTCATATAAAATTTAATGAATTAAAGTTTATTAAATCCTTTTTGTGTAGTAAAGTAATCCTTTTTGTAATGCTTTTAGTTTCGATAAAGCAAAAACATTTATAAGAGAATTTTCCCTACTAATTATTATTCAAGTAAAGCTGACCAATGATTTCGTTGATAAAAACAAAATCAAGTTTATTATATAAAATGAAAAATTATCAAATCAGATTGTTCCATGTCAAAAAAATATTATAAAGCTACTCTATTTGCCTTTGAGTTATATTATGTGAAGAAAATATTAATTCATAAAACATATAAAAAATGGAAAATCGCAGACGATGAAAGTTACACAGAATTATATCAAGGAGAGGGATCCGCAACAGATTGCGAGCTATAAAGTCATCTCTAACTTTAAAATACGAATAACTTCACAGACGACAATAAAACAAACGCTGATGATGAGGAGCTGTGACGAACACACACACACACACACACACACACAGGCATACACAGACACACACACAAACACAGGCATACCTACACACACACACACACTCATGTCTGAATTGAAGACATCAAGTCAGCAATATTTATATGACTCAATATGAACCAGCTCGGACACTTTATAATGATGAATAGATCCAGTGACAGAAAGTTGAAATGAATTTCTGGCGCTGTGTAATATGAGTTTTGATCAGAATTATAAAAGAAAAAGAAAGTTAGTGTTAGACACATTGTGATAAAACTAGAATCATCATAATAATATATCGACATTTGTTACAAATA